TGTTCACACCACTGTTGGAATTGTTTGATTTGCTCGAAATATTACCAATAACAAAACTTATCATTGTGTGTAAACCATTGAAATATAATTATACTTTATTTGATCTAATCCACAATGCTCAAACTTTTCGCTGATATTAACATTGAAAACTGTTTGGAAACCAGTTGCTTCTTTCTTTCAGATCTTGAATTCTCCTTGTACATAATGTTTGCCAGCGTCTTCAAGTGGTAGCATCGGATCGTTCATGGAATTTGAGTGTGAATTTACGTAAATGTTCAGGAGTCCAGCTTCATTTCAGTTTAAATGTGGGGTTGTTCGACCTCGACCAGAAGGTATATAGAAGAGTAGGCCCAGCATCAGAATATCAGAAAGAGAAAGTATATGGACATCAAAAGAACATTGATGTTTTATGTATATATAAATGTTTATGTAAATTGTATTACAGTGCATAGTAAACATTACCTATATTCGAGTTGTTTTGTCATGTATTTTTGCGAAGTGTTAGGGTTTGTTTAGTGTCGTAATATTTAGTAATGAGTCTAGGCATTATAGTGTTCTAATAGCTCATGCGTTTTAGAAATAAGTGGTGCGGTGTGATTAGCATAGTCATTGGGATGAAACAGTCTATACAGCAAGCGTTTAAAGTTTATAACAGAGTTACAGGTCCTTATTTCTAGGGGTAAACTGTTCATGATCTTAGAATACATGACTATGAAGAAGTTTGCACGGCGTGCTGTTCTACAGCTTTTCCTAGACACTGCACGTTTGGTTACGCAGATTGTAGGAGCCTTCCGATGAGAATTGTATCTCCTTACTGTCTGAGAATGATATTTTATGCAAGACTTTATAGAAGAATGTTAGATTAATGCTGACTCGTCTCATCCAGAGTGGCTAAGGTGATGCAGAACTTAATTCAAGCACATTGAATTACTTGCATGTTTGGACATCATAGTGGTCATTCAGGTGGTGGAACATGAGGGTCAGATCGAATCACCAACATCAGCTAGCAGTTCAAGAGTGCGAAGGGTGAGTATGCACATGCGTAAACTTTATCTTACATCTTTGGATGGCCGGATAGAAGGCTGCGGATTGCGAAATTCTTCCTGGCCTGGTGCAAGGGAAAATACGATAATATTTCCATCACAAACATGAAGTCAACTATCTGGCCGCCAGACACCACCGTGAAGGCAACGGAATCTTTTACTCTGAATCTTCAGGGTCTTGTTTTTCGTTGACTTTGGCTTAAATGCCTTCGGAATGGGTGTCAGTCGGTATAAATCAAGTTCTCGACAACTCGAAAATACTTTTCACAAAGAAACAGAAGTCTAGAACAGCAGCAATTATTTTAGGTTTCTTAGATGACATCACTGTTGTTCTTAGGATCTGGTTCTCTTCCCATTCAGTTGCTTTTACTGTTTAGTTAGGCTGTTATGGTCGCTAATCAATAGAACGCTCTCTTGGTGATAAACTGGTTGTTTCAGTAATTTTCGATGGTTCTCATGCATACGGTCATAAGCATGTAATCTTAAAGTAAAAGTATTTAACGAGAATATAATCGAAACGCCTCATACATCCTTTTATTTACATATATTTAATTGTGAGTCTTTACCCAAACGCAGTTAGTGATAATCCAATTTTGTATGACCATCAGCTATAAATGAGGCAGTGCTGCTTAGTTAGCCTCAGAGTTCCCAACGGTGGATTAAGGCGAGTGTGTAAATAATATAAATCAACAATAATCAAGAAGAAGAAATAAACCAGAATATCAAATAAAAAGAAAACTAAATTCTGGAGGGTGTAGCTAACCTAACCGTATTACTGAGGAGTGTTTGGAGACCAATTCATACTCCATGTAAGTGGGGGAATTCACCCACTAAAAGCTCTAAAGCTGAATCAGACAGCCTCATATTGTCGAAGAATACAAAGTATTGCAGTGACGCCAGAGTGCACACGACCCAAAATTTCCAAATGACCTGCAAAAGTAACCACAAATTAGGCGAAATAGACTTTGATATACAAAATATAGACTCAGCGATTAAGATATTGAAGTCTAATGGTAGTACTGGAACAGACGACATACCATCTGTCATATACAAAAATGGTAGCACGGAAATGGTGGTCTTGTTACTTAGAATATTTATTCTCTCTTTGGAAACTGGAACTTATCCTGAAGTGTGGAAAACCACATACATATTACCTAAGCACAAAGCAGGGGCCAGAACCAGTGCATGCAACTATAGACCTATCAATATAACATCGGTAATATCCCGAATAAGGGGGAAAGTGGTTAAAGACCAAGTGTCAGACAACTTACTAGAACATGAACTTATCAATCCATCACAACACGGATTTCTCAAAAAGAGATCATGTGTGACCTGTCACATAGACTTTTTCAACGGAGTTACACGAAGTAGGGGCAACAGAGAACCAGTAATTGTGTTACATTTCGATATAACAAAAGCCTTCGACAGAGTTCCCCATAATCTGCTAGTCAGCAGGTTATGCTCACTAGGGATATGTGACCCTCTCCTGAGCTGGATAAAATCATTTCTCTGTGGCCGAAGTCAGACAACGAAAGTTGGCTCGATAATCTCAAGGCCTAAACCAGTAAGTAGTGGTGTGATCCAGGGAAGTGTATTAGGCCCACTCTTATTCATAATATATATAAACAGTATCTGTGAATGCTTTAGCGTAGGTAAACCAATACTATATGCAGATGACTTAAAAGTGACGTATAAATGCAAGAACACAGATCTTGGAATAACAGTAAACGCCATACAGCAAGAATTAGAAAAAATGGATAGATGGTGTGACACCTGGCAACTCCAATTTAATGTCGAAAAATGTGGCTGGCTCTGCATAGGCTGCAACAATTTAGAACTTGACCTGACAATTCAAGGCCATGCACTTCAACGACTGGAATCTGTACTAGACCTAGGGCTGAAATATTCACATAACTTATCATTTTCTGAACATATCTCCAAACAAGTGTCAAAGTCACGCAGACTTATCGGCTTTCTACTCAGGAACTTCTACAGAAATGAGTCTAGAACTCTGTTGTACAAGGTTTGTGTGCGTCCTTCATTTGATTACTGTTCATTCATGTATAGTAGTATACGCATAGAGGACAAATTGAAAGTCGGGGGAGTGCAGAGGTACTTCACGTTAAAATTACTCGGAACCGAAAATGGTGTGAACTACTCCACTAGATGTGATACCCTAGGACTAGAAACACTATGGCTAAGACGCCTGAGACTAAACTTGACACTTTACTATAAGCTTCTAAACCACTTGGTTTTTACCTCTACTAATGGCACTCGACTTTCAGATGACAACGGCTACAAACTTAGACACACTGAGTGTACAGTAGCAATCGAACAATGTAAAACAGCCACCAGGCAAAAGTTTCACTTGGTTAGGTATGCACAGATATGGAATAAACTACCAATAGAAATGCGTCAAGCAAGTATATTGGCCTCCTTCAAAAAGGTGCTTAATGACAAACTACAAGAGTTTGCAAACGATAGTAGTTCTAGTTCCTATCTGAGAGCCTCCGAAATTATAGGTCCATTTAATGTATAAGCTTAAATACTACACCTGTTGTTTTTTGCCTATATTTATAATTCTAGCTAAAACATTAACGGTTAAGATACGTATCCCCAAACAGGCAAGAAATCTCGTTTGTAAAACTACTACCCAACACAATAAGTGGAATAAAATGGATATAAACCGACAACTTGAAAAAGGTATAACTCACCACAACATTATATGGACAGATGTACGCTCGTTGGGCACCATATATCCCTCACCAACTGCAACCCACCTGTCCTTAGATAACGTGATGAACTTATATCCATAATGTTGCTGAGCAGTTAATATTCTCAACTCCTGTCGGAACAGCTGAAATTCATAAACCTTCCTCACGCTAAGAAAATACCCACAAGCAGTAGAAATCCATTAATTAATGCGTCTGAAGCTTATGTATTTACTCCCAACAATGACATTGCAGATCAAATGAGATAAACACATCACTGATTTCAAAATAACACATCAATGAACTATAATTCAAGGATTCTGCACACAACGAAGTTATGTATGAAAATTGACTTCAAGCTTTGTTTTTTTTTCCCAGGCACTTATTTTTTTTATTTATTTTTTTAAAATTTTGATTACAGCTTGATACCACACCATATTTTCAGTACAAGTATGGCATTTTCAGCATGGATATCGGTAGCCCAAATTTTGCAGGCCGACCATAGATACCGGGTGTGCGTCGGTAGGGGTTCGAACCCCGTACCATGTGCATGGTCGGCGAGAGTCCTAACCACTGTGCCACCAAAGACCTGGTTTTTTTGTTAATGCGAAGACAATACTCCTGTATTTCCTGTTGTGTTGCACTCACTGAAAATCTAGCAGATTATTCCAACTGTGCACAGAAATGATTGTAAATAAGTGAAAAGGCTGTTCTGTTCTACTGGGATTACCATTTATCAAGTGTATATATAATCTCCAGCGAACATGTAAGGCATATCTTGCTACTGCCTTAAATTGTGATTGAATTGTATGGTTCTACTTCTGTAACAATTTGATGATGCCTGTAAACTGGTGTCCCTCATGTACTGTACTATGAGAATAAATTTATTTATTTATTTTATTTATTTATTTATTAGTACTGGCAGTTAGTTGCACTAAAACTAGCGAAATGATAAAAACTTTATGTGTTTTCAAAGCAAATGGAGGATTTGTGTGCAGTACGGGATAACCCACGTGGTTTCATCCACTCTTTCGTACCATCAGAAGGAACACAATGCTTTATCAATAACAATGATTTATATTGCTCCAAATGTAGACGGCAGGTGCTTCCAGTTCATTATTTTTGCCAAAAGAGTTAAAAATCAGTTACAGCATGATAACTAGAATAGTTTCTCCTACATAACTACTAGAATTTTTATCTATTATCTTCACTACACTCCTTTTACAAGTCATTGGACTTTGAACATGTATGGCGCCCCTTTTCTGTATGTCGGTGCATACATAAGATTCGCTGATAACGGCTAGTTACTATAGTATCTTAGGATGTAAGTTATGTAATTTGTAAGATTTATTATTTTTCATACTTAAGGCCAAAGTCTTTCCGCTATGATGTCTGTGATGACCGGTTAGTGCCACGTTTACTATATTCATGCTCTTAGTTTGACCGCGCGTCAGTATGACTACAATAGCAGTGCTTATGAAGACTCTTGCAAGGTTCAGAATGAATATCCCAGAAAACACAAAAAACATTCTCATCATTCCAAGGAACATGGGCCCCATACGTCCAAGTATTCCAGTCATAAACCTAAGAAAATAGATGACTGGTCTCCGGAAAATTCTCCAGACAACATCCATAAAAAGTTTGGAGTGTTAAGTTTCAATGATAACGTTTTCTAGAAAGAAAAAGCACAAAAAGCGTTCGCGCAGTCACAGTAGCGACAAACGTATCCACGCATCAAGACACCATTCACCGGACTGTACGGATATTGATGCCTTCAAATTCCGTTCTAGTCTAATGTCAGAACTTTCAAAGCACCATAACTTCAAAGAAAAAATTCTGAAGGTCAAGAATGCTACTGAAACATCTAATGTGGATGATCCACACCAACCTCCCACCGAAAAAGACGTGAACCAGTTCAATGAAATATGCTCTAATACTCCTCGTGTCGACTCTTCCATTCCATTAGATGAGATAGCTTTACCACCTGAACCTATTACAAAGCCATTCTTATCAAACCCGGTTGCTCCATCTACAGTCAGTACACCATCGATAAAAGATGTGCGTGAAGTACACAATACAGACATTACTTCTTCACAGACTCATAATTCAAGCGTAATGACTCCGAAGTTACCGAAAACACATCAAGTGCATATTCATGTAGATACACCGTAAGTCGCCTCAGTAACTAATATCGCTTACTGTAGATCTGAACATAGAAAGCCCTCAATTACTGAGCTTCCACTGCCCCCTGGTTTTGACAGCAAAAATTTAGAGTCTATTTTTCCTGACAAGTCACCTATGCATCCTGTTACTGTTCCATCGACAAAACCGCCTACCAGACAAAGGATAACAAGACGACCCAAGTATGTCCATGTTGCTTTTACTTGTGTATTGTATTAAGATGACGGTGAATCCGTTATTTGTTTGTTTTGTCACAGTCATTCTCCTGATCATAACTTTTTAATGGGGCTTCACAAAATGCTGAGTTTAGTTCAGGTAGACCTGTATTCACGTGAAATTTAAACAAGCAGTCTTTAGGCATGGTTAGACACCATGCTCCTGAAAAGCAGTACATTTCAACCGATAAAAAGTATGCAAATATATAAGTCAAAGTACCAAAAGAATGTTACTGTGTAACTAGCAGTTCGCAAGGTCTTGAAATTGTTTTTTCGCCCTAGAAAACAAAGCAGTGATAAAATTATAGCAGTCACGTGCCAAGCATCCATAAAAGAACTACTAAATTCTTCCGATCATAGAATTACGCGGTGGTGGTTTGGTTTTCACGCCATAAAAGCTTATATTCAGACACTCATGATTACAGTAAGCTAAGAAATTTGATTATTTATTTATTTAAACGCATTAAAACTTGGTACAATATGGCACCAAGAAGGATGCGCCACACAATAATAATAAAACAACGTAGATGAAAAAAAGGAAGGCAGGAAAAGAAAAAAATATATATAAGTAGAGAACGAATAATGAACTTCATCTGGAAGGAAAACACTCATTCTTAACAGGTTCAAACAGTGTTCGTTAACTATCATCGGGAATGGAAGAAAGAAGGAAATCGCAACACATTCGCCATTGATTACGATTCTTGGCCATATCCGATAACGTTTCGAGCCATCGATTTGAGCTATCTCTCAGACCCCAACCAGGGAGTCGTGACACACCAACCGATGCTAATCTAGCACAAATATCCTTCATCCCACGACGCCACGTCATGGGCTGACCACCTCTCCGCCTTTTCCAACCCGTCCCAGGGCTAGCGAACAGAGACCTGTACGGAAGCCTCTGGGATGACATTCGCAGCACATGTCCAAGCCACCGGAGCCGGTGTTTCCAGATGACGACATTCAATGAATAGTGATCTCCACTGTGTTCAAACACACGCCACTGAACCTCAGAATTACTCACTCGAGGATGCCATCGAACGCAAGCAATCCTGCGGAGACAGCGATGATCGAACACAGAGTCGCCGCACATCCTCAGCTCGGAGAGGTCAGGTTTCACAGGCGTAGAGCAAGACAGCCCGCACCGAAGCATTGTACACCCGACCTTTGACAGCCAGGCTAACGTCGCGATGGCGCCAGAGGTGGCTCAAGTTGATGTATGCCACCCTAGCTTTCATTATACGGTTGGAAATCTCATCCGTCACCCCTCCGCCAGCACTCACACAACTACCTAGGTACACAAACTTATCGACAACTTCAAGCGGTTTACCCGCAAGAGTGAGTGCAGGTACAGGCTCCTGCCAATATTGTAACAGTACTTTGCACTTAGACGGCGCAAAGCACATACCATACTTACAGACACTGATCACCAACTGATTAAGTGCGATTTGGGCAGCCTGCATGCTATCGCACAGTAAGACGATATCGTCTGCATACTCGAGGTCGAAAAATCTATCTCCAGGTAGCAGATCTACACCACCTTCACGCACATCCTTCAGAGCTGACTCCAGAATGTCATCGATGGCAAAGTTAAAGAGAAATGGTGAGATTGGGCAACCCTGTCTAACCCCACTGTTGGTTGGGAACAGTGGTGATAGTTGGTTGTATGCCCTCACTCTACCTGAGGTGTTTCTGTATAGGGCTTTCAAGATGTTAACAAATTTCTCAGGTACACCTCTCTCTAACAGACAGTTCCAGAGCACAGTTCTGTACAACGAATCGAAGGCAGCCCTAATATCAAGAAACACAACGATCGTTGGCCTGCAATACGTGCGGCGATGTTCCAACAACTGACGAAGGGTGAACACATGATCAATGCATCCACGACCTGAACGAAACCCAGCCTGCTCTTCGCGAATCAATCCTTCGCGTATTTTGCACAGTCTGCGAAGCATGACAGCAGCCAATATTTTAGACGCAACTGGTAACAGACTGATACCCCTATGGTTGTCACACGAATTACGTCGACCCTTTTTAAAGATGGGGACGATAATGGCTTCGTTCCACATTGATGGTACGCTCTCTGTCTCCCACACCCTCCTGAACAACCCAGTTAGAGCCATTATGAGAGTCTCGCCACCATCTTTAAAAAGAGCCGGGGGTAATTTGTCTGGGCCGGGCGCCTTATGGCGTTTCAGAACTTGGAGTTCCTTACGGACCTCCGCTTCGTTGGGTGGGTCGGTACTAACCGACCAAGGAGCACTCGGGCTAATGATAGTAGACAATGAAGCTGGTGGCCAGCTGAACTGCTTCCCGAAGTGCTCTGCCCAGCGTTCCAGGCGTCTCTTCAGGCTGGTAATTGGAGTGCCATCTGCCTCACAGACCGTCTCGCTGACACCTTGTTTCTTGCTGCCGGTGGCTCGTATGAATTGGAACAGCTTCCGACTGTTGCCAGATGTAGCAGCTGACTCCATCTCATACGCACGTTCTGACCACCAGGCTTCGCGGTCCTTACGTAAATTTGATTAATTATTTAGTGACTTGTGTGAGAAGTTTTAAAGATCCTGTCTAGGTCGCTCACTGTTATCAAAATTATTGACTCTATGCACTTGAACTCCTACGATACAGTCGTGTAGTCTGGCACCTTGAGTTAGTATGATTCTTCGTTTGTGTTTAAGAAAGTTTGTCAAGCAACAGAAGCCATCTTAATGCTGCTGTTTGGTGGAATTTCCGGTCTAATCTGTTTGCTTTATCTAGAGGTTTGCTTCTAAGTGTGCTTACTCGATTGTTCTGTAACGCACCAACTGGTTATACGGTTGTTCGTAACCTAACATTAACATAATCGTTCAAGACATTTCGCTAATGTAGGTACCGTAGATGTCTGATTTGTGGTTAGTGTACAATTACGTTACCATCTTTCTATTCTTGTATTAACAGATTCATTTTCGCACCTAATTCTGTGTTAATTTTATCCATGATGCAAAGTGTGGTAATAAAAAAAATCTTTCTCTCCTTTGTGTTGAAGAATTTGTTCACTTCGTAGCAAAAGTCGTAATAATAAAACGTGGGGTGAGCGTTCTGTGACGGCTTTTGACACATTAGTTCAAGTTGGTGAGGGTACATACGGTCACGTGTATAAAGCAAGAGATAAAATTACTGGTGAGTAATTAAATGCATTATTATTATTGTAATACAATATTTTGTATTCAAGGTGAATATAAAGCACTAAAAAAAGTAAGATTAGAAAATGAAAGAGAAGGATTCCCTATAACCGCTGTCCGTGAAATAAAAATACTCCGTCAGCTTAGACACCCAAATATTGTAAATTTATGTGAAATTGTTACAGACAAAACGGATCCTACTGATTTCAAAGAGGATAAAGGTAAGCCTTGACTATTGTTTAATGTTTTGACTTTGTAAGGTGCATTTTTCTTAGTTTTTGATTACATGGATCATGATCTTTACGGTATTCTGGAGTCTGGATTAGTGACGTTTAGTGAACAGCATATTGCCTCCTTAATGAAACAACTTTTGGATGGACTCAGTTTCTGTCATGATAGACACTTCCTCCATCGTGATATTAAATGTTCTAACATTCTAATCAATAACAGGTAACGAGATTATTTTAATTTATTCGGGTTTTAGAGGGCAGTTAAAACTAGCAGATTTTGGATTGGCACGTTTGTATATTGCTGGTGACAAGGAAAGACCATATACAAATAAAGTAATTACTTTATGGTACCGGCCTCCAGAGTTACTTCTCGGTGAAGAACGATATGGCCCAGCTGTCGATATATGGTCGTGCGGGTAACATATGAAAAAGTTACGACATTTAACTGTTTTAGTTGTATTTTAGGCGAAATGTTCACTCGTCGACCAATGTTTCAGGCCAGTGAAGAAGTTGAACAGCTGGAAGTTATATCACGAATATGTGGATTTCCGGATCCAGCTATATGGCCTAACGTTGAGAAACTGCCGTTTTATTCAACGATGAAACCGAAACGAATGTATAGACGCCGACTGCGTGAAGAATATCATATGTAAGGATGTGATTATATAATTTTCTGCATAGTATTCCACCTCAGGCTGTTGATCTCCTGGACCATATGTTACAATTAGATCCTCAGAGAAGGTGCAGCGCTCACGAGGCCCTAGCATCACCGTGGTTACGCAATGTTGACTCGACTAAAATTACTCCGCCAAGGCAAGATATTTTTAACTTCTCACCTTCCTTAGATTGCCTGTCGACCAGGATTGTCATGAAATGTGGAGTAAAAAGAGGCGGCGTATGTTGCGTCAAGAGCAAGAGTTGAAAGCTCAGAGAATCGGACAAGAACCAGTCCCTTCTAAGCTTCCAAGTGAGTTATTTCTTTTTCACCTCGCATTATGCAGTCGTCACATCCCGTGGTGCTATTTCAGATATGAAATCGGTTCCACGTCAAGCCAATGGACCCTGTCAAAATCCTACATATTCTGTAGCCAGTAGACCGGAGTCAACTAAACAGTGCATTCCGACCCAACTCACTGGTGATGGATTTTCAGGCAGTGGTCTCAACACTATCCAACAGACCAACCCTCAAATCCTTGATAATTCATCAAATCCCAGTGATACGCTTAAAAATCAGCTACGAGATCTTTTAGCTGATTTTGAAGATTCTGGTGTAGAACGCTTCAAAGAATCAATCACTGAGGCTTTGAAAGCAAATCCTAATTTATTACGCGGTATGCAAGAATTATTAGGTCCTAGTGATCCTAGTGAGAATGCATCAGCTGTGCTTGCTTACATTTTATCATTAATAGCAGATGTAAGCAATCAAGGCTCTAGTGTTATGGAAACGAGTGATGCTAGTATACAGACAGCATCTTCACAAATTCGTCCTGTACAGCATTTTTCTCACGATTCAAATGTTAATAATAATAATAATCAACTCACGTGACATTATTATTATCACTACTACAGTTCTTTCTCTGAAAATCCCAGTTCCAGCTGGTCTTTGAGTCAAATCTTCTAGGTGCATTATATACATATTTTTCAAATCAAAACTTTGTTGTATCTACACTGTAAAAAATGAAATGAAATACTTTGTTTCTGTTTTTTTTGTTTACATCTAAATGATATATGGGGTGTTACAAAAGAGAATAATAATGTAGATATATATGAAAACTGATACTTGTGATAGATAATATTTTGAAATTTAATTTTTTTATACAAATGAATGAATTGTCAATGCACATATATATGTATGTATGTATATGTTATTTCTTGATTATCCTTATTACTTCTGTTTTATCGCCTTAAACACTGGTTAAAAAAAGAGAAATAGTTGCGTAAAGAAATCACTATGATTTTAATGCTTGTTTGCGTTGAAAATGATTGGTTGAAAGGATTATCGCGCTACACTTTAATCAAGGCTTGTGACAACAGAAGACAAGGGCCAGGCAACAGATCGTTTATTAAGGAAAATCAACACATTTATAGATTTTAATGTACATTATTGTAGATTATTGTTAGTAGAAAATGCAGTCTTTTGATTGGTCGTTCCTTACAGAAAGTTAACCTTGCATCTCTTTGTGGCTGTGTCAGATCATCCATATGCTAACTGTATCCGCCTACGCAAAGCCTTTGTTCTCATTTTCTCACCACCAATATTGGGGACATAAACATTGACGTCAATTACTGTCTACCAACTTTGGCTAGCAGCCAGCTCTCACCACAGGTTATCCGTGTAAACATTGATGTATATTGGCCATCGACATTTCGAATTCTAAGGCATAATCTATTACCGAATGATAATTACGCCATCTCTGATATGTCTCACTAGTTGTCGACCAAAGGCTGTGTGTACTACTCAGCAGTTTGCTCTGTACTCCTTTATGGCTATAAGTGAGACATGGCCATTGAAAGTGGAAGATATGAAAAGCCTGGCTAGTTGTCTTTGATCATAGGTGTCTGTGTCCCATCTCTCGTGTTAACTGGTATAATAAGGTGATCAGTATTGAAGTTGGGTGTCGAGTGCTAGGTAAAGAGGGGAAGTCGATCGACGAGATTGTGAAGTGACACCGATTCAGATGGTTAGGACATTTGTTACGTATGTCTAGCCATCACCTTCCTCGACGGGCAGTGTTAGCTGACATATGGCCAAGCTGGAAAAGAGCCAGTGGTGGTCAAACCAAAACATCGCTTCATCAATCAACGAAATCCACAACTGTTAGTTTAAGCTAGCCACGTAAGAAGCTTTAGACTGCTGCCTGGTTGGGTTCCTTGGGATGGTAAAAACCAACGAGGGCTGGAGACAGTTGGCGATATGGTTCAAAGTCGTTCTCGATGATGGCGCAGATGCATTCACTCTTTGTAATTTGTCATATCTAGAAAAACTTAATCTTCCACATTACTATTCTTTTTGCCTCACATTCCTGTTTATTATCACTCTTGCTTTGTGTGCTACATGTAGTGTGTGTATACATCTGTGCAAAGCTCTAAGTTGAAAGCATTCAGTCATTCTGATGAGCATTCTGATGATAAACACTCGCGTCATCATTAACAGAGTATACGGCAGCGTACCAATTGGTATGAGTGCTTATCTTTGTACCTTCAGCCTGACCAATCGACTAAAAACGGTTGAAGGTCATATTGTGATTGATAGTCAAGATATCGGCCAATAATTTCACTTCAACCTTATTGTTGAGTTTCCGTTATTATTAGTATTATTGTTATTGTTTCCTTTAATTCCTAGAGGAACATAGGGCTTCAACCGCACGTCTCCATTGCGTTCGGTTCTCTGCTAACGTTTTGATCTGGCTTCACGTCTGCCAAATTGCTTTCATCTCGTCTTCCCGTAACCTCTTCCTCTATGTCACCCTCGCGCTGATGACCAACTCGCCGCTTCCCATTTGGCTTACACTCTAGCGATGGCCTGTCACTTGATGGTTTGTTCCCTCAAAGTATGGCCAATCCACCTCCATTTCTTCCTGCATGCATATTTACTGCACAATTGGTTCCTGCTGGGTTGGTTTGCTCATCGCCAGAGATCCCTCCCTGTTGCTGATGTTTTCAGACCGGCCATCTGATCTCGAGTAGTATTGAGGGAAGACTGCAGTTGATGAAGTCCTGTAGTTTGTTTGAAGTGCTCTTCGTGATGCTCCGATTCTCTGATCCTTTTAGTAGCACAGACTGACTTCACATTGGAGCTGAAAATCTGGATGTTATTTTTCATGGTGAGTAGTACTGTTGATCTCCACACAGACTTGTGAGTAATGGAAAGCTTGCCTTGCTTTCCCGATCCTCGTTGCTTTGATATCCTCATCAGTTCGATCCACGTGTAGTTGAAACGATGCTTCCCATTTATACTGATCGTTTTCTGTTGTTGTTGTTGTTGTTACTGTTACTGTTGGCCAGGAATCTTCATCATCACTGTCTTCTCTATGTTCACCTGAAGTCCTATGCTTGATGCTTCTTCTGCTAACTTGCTACTTTTCACTTTCATATCTTCCAGTTTGTGGGAAATCATACATATATCACTGGCGAAATCCAGATCCCCCAAGCACTTTGCATGGGTCCATTTTATGCCTGTTTCCTCCTCCCATTGTCTATCGCATTATCCAGTCTATCACAATTAGGAAAATCATTGGAGATAGTTGGCAGCCAGCCTAGTCTTACTCCCATCCTCACTTCGAAGGATTCCGTGAGTTTCCTGTTGTGGATTACTTCGCATGCAGCATTGTCGTATAACTGTTGGATGATGTGTATACTTGTGGGTGGCACCCCGTAGTGGCGAAGTAGTTTCCAAATCACCTCTCGATCGACGCTGTCTAAGGCCTTTTCAAAGTCAATGCCATTGCAAGCTCTGTTCAGTGATGATCGATGCATGACTTGTTTCTCCTGAATCCAGCCTGTTCCGGTTGAAGTTTTTCATCCAGGGCGTTTTTGATTCTCTCCAGGATGATGCAGCGTAGTATTTTGCTTGGACGCGCCAGTTTTTGCATTGACATAAGTCTCCTCTCTTTGGTAGTTTGAATAAGTAACCTTTCTTCCAATCCGCAGGTACCTTGCTCTCTTTCTACACCTTCTCCAGTAGTGGTGTCATCAAGTCCGCTAATGCCTCTGGGTCCATTTTCAATGCTTCTGCGGGGATTCCGTCTGGTCCTGCTGCCTTTCCAGGTTTGGCATCTGTATTTCCTTCAGGACTTCTGTTCTCGTCGGGGGGTTGATGTTCACTGGTAGTTCTGCTTCCGTTGTTGGTATTATTGGGCGTGTTGTAGGTGGCGATCGATTAAGAAGTCTTTTGAAGTGTTCAGCCCAGTGTTTCCTTTGCTCCACCTCTTTGGTGATTGACTTTATACTGTCACTCTTCACTAGCTTAATTTGTGTTGAACTTTTCCCCGATAGGAACCTAGTTGTTGGTAAGGTGTTGCGAGGTCTCCTTTGCCTACAGCTTGTTCTGCTTCACTTGCCACAGCTTCATAATATTTTCTTTTATCTCCCTTGGCACTTTTATTCAGTGTATTGTAGCTTGCATTCAACTCCTGTTTTTGTTGCTCGTCGATGCACTAGATACTTTCTTGTTTCATCATCTTTCTCTCTTCTATTAGTCTCCAAGTGTCCATAGTGAGCCATTGTTTGTCCTGTCTCTTCTTTCTGCCTAAAACTCCCATGCAGGTTTGACTCCACACCATTTTCAGGTTGTTCCAGTGCTTTTCAACACTGGTCTCTTCGCTACTGTTGATTTTTGTTTTTGCCTTTTTCCTTATGATTGCAGTGAAGATGTTCTTTGTAGCCTGATCCTTCAGTTTTTGAGTGTTGAACTTGGCTGGTGGTCTATCTGCAGCTCCTGTTTCTCTGAAAGCTTTTAATTTGATTTGGAGTGTTCCCTACTTTTGTGTCTAGTAACCTGCATCTCCACTTCTTTGAGCAGCATTAAGATGAAGTCAGTGTGGTGCTTGGTTCGCCCGTCTGGTGACACCCATGTAGCCTTGTGGGACGTCCTTGTGCTTGTATATGCTGCCAACAATCACTAGTTCATTGAAGGCACAGAAGTCAGCTAAGAGTTCTCTGTTTTTATTCATCTCTCCAAGAGCTTCTCTACTCATAATGAGTTCTTTTCTTGTGTTGTCTGGTCCCAGTTTGGCGTTCATGTCTCCCATTAGTAGTTTAATGTCACCGACTGGAGTATTGTCCATTGTTGCCTGTAGTTGTCTGTAGAATTCTTCTTTCTTTTCGAGGTCTGCGTTGTTTTCTGGGTGCACAGCAGTGTATAATTGTCACTTTCCTTCCTTTGGAGTTGAATCTGGCGGTTATTATCCTGGGCGAGATCGCCTCCTATTGAGCTTCCGTATATATATATATATATATATATATATGGAGCAGAATTTCGTTCCGTTCTTTACAGTTGAAACATCCATTGAAAATGGAAGATATGAAGAGATTAGCTGTCCTTGACCACAGGTATCCGCATTGTATTATCCTTGCTAGGCGGAATTATATGCTAAGTTGTATTGAGGTGGCTATAACACGTGTTCCGCATGCAAAACTATCGTCTTCCTCGTAGAGTTGTGTCACCTGACATAGAATTAGATTGCAAAAGAATTATGATTAGCCAAATCAAAACATTCCATCAATCCATAAAGCGTCTGAAGGTTGGTTCGAATCACGTGAACAGGTGTATACTGCCCCACTGGGGTTATCGAGATGCTAGAAACCAATGTTTGGAGAATATTGGTGACACGGTTCGAAATCATTCTCGGCGGTGCATATGCATTCATTCTTTATGAATGAAGAGAGGCATTTTGAACCACTGTACTTTTGTTTGCAAATGTCTACTTTGAAAATTTGACTTCGTTTTAGTTTTCTGACACTTGTGGGGTTTATAGATTCACCTGACTGATATAAGCCAAAAGTGGGACGAAGTTAGAGTTCTGGATTCAGGACATTAACAAGACGTCCCTTCTAGGAGCCCATACGCCAAACCATACCGATTATTTTGCTTCAGTAGGAAAGACCAACGTAAAATTCGCCAGTTTCAATAAATAGATCTTTCTTTTTCTTGAGTTATCGTTTTCGTGTTTATGTTTGAGGACGTTCCTGATCGACTGATCTTCAACCTGCGTTGTCAAGTTAGGATGGATGATGTGACTGTGTTGAATAAGACACGGACACCATTCGCAGTGAACACACAACACAGAGTACTGAACAGCCGATTCGTTCTCCTAGTTTGGGGCTCATCGGCGGTACCACACCCACCGCTAGGGTTCGA